TCTTCAGGGCGGATTTCCGGTTCGTTTGAAAACCTCTAATCAGAGCGTAAAGGTAGTCAAAACGGAATGTTTTCTTTTATTTCATTTGCTCTAGCAGCATTTTGCTTTTGTATTTTCGTCTAAAAATATTTGATTCTTTTTAGGGCAGAAGCCGCGAATCAAACGCGCGTCCCAGCCAAAGGGTGGACAGTCGTAAATAAGGTGATCCTAGCTATACTTTTTATACGGTTTTCCTTGGACTTTAGACATTTACCGCATCTAGAAAATGAATAGAAATCTTCGAAAATGTCTAAAATATTTGTGCTAAGGTTGTAGCAATCCAAACCTACTAGAAACGCTATAAGATCTCACGAAAACTAACCAGAACCACCCACAAACATCTATTTTAGAGAGATGGAATGAATCGGAATCGACTGCTCACCGTCGAAGTCATCTCACCAAACGATTGATCGATGGATGGTCGCCGACATTTCTTGCGTTGCATACCTTTCCGTGATTTGTTTTATCTTTATTTTTTAATGAATTGAATATCGCTCGAATTTTTGGTTATATTGTTTTCGTATTATGCCATTCTTAGTTGACTCTTGTTCGTTAATTAATTACACCGACACCGTACCTCGGGAAGACAATGCGGTTTCCCGATATGTCCCCAAAAATTAATTTTAATAACAAAAATACTATCCATAAATCTGAATAAATCCTACGTGCTCTAAACACTCGTGACCTACGCACCTCATCGCTTATCAAAAATACCTTAAAATCCTTTCCCTATCAAAATATTTCTTGCGTACTGTTCAATCGCTCCAAAAGGAAGCTGTTATGCTCCAAAATATTAATAAGCTTGTTTTTCCAACGGCAGCTGACGTGCTTTCACGACTTCCGACCATTGTTTATAAGTGTTTTCGAGTTTCAACAACATCCCCTGTCTGTGCTAAATAGCAGGCGATTTGAACGCCTATGGCGGGGGTGATTGATTTGAATGGTTCCCCGAGCGACAGGCCTTTAGATTCGCCCCCAAATTCACACATGGCGCGCTTTTCCGATAAAAATTGGCGTCCCGCGAAGCGCTTTTCCTAAAGCCATTCGAAATTGCGGGCGATTTTTGGTTAGCGCGTCGGTAGATCCTAATTTGATTTACCCTATTTTTCGCTATTTTAACTTTTATTGTATTCCGGATCGTCATGAGCATCATACATTTTTTGCAGGTTTCCCTGACTTCGAATTTGGGTGATTTATACATATAATGGTGATGGTAAAATCCGTGATTTCAAGTGCATTTGCTGCATCTTTGAGGATGCAAATTTTTAGGATGAGGTAAGCATTTACGGAAGGGATGATCATTATCATTAACATTTTATTCGAATTGTCTATTTCGATAGTCATAATTTTTGCATTCGCCCAGTATTTGTGACTTTAAGGCCCGAGAATCTTCGCAAAGTGACGCTGAGGACGACGCCCGTGGAAGAAAATTGAATGATGGTCTCTCTCTCTATCTCTCTCTGATTTCCAGTCATTTCGCATAATTTTCATTTCGCATACTGCCATTTCGCATAATTGCATTTCGCATAATTTTTATTTCGCATAACGGTGATTTCGCTTAACGCTTATTTCGTATAACGCCTATTTCGCATAACGGTGATTTCGCCTAACCGTGATTTCGCATAACGATCATTTCGCATCATTTTCATTTCACCTAACGACCATTTCGCATAATTTTGATTTCGCCTAACCGCCATTTCGCATAATTTCCGCCATTAGCAGCCGATGGTATATCCCCTTGGCTTAGTAATCAGCAATCGATGAAAAACAACCTACCTGCGCGGTTTTTTGCGCCCTTCCTTGCAGACATACCAAGCTTGCTCAAAACCCCACGACACATGAGGCATGCGTCTCTTACAGGGGTGTCACCAAAATCCTACGCTATAGATAGTATCTATGTGTAAACTGGCAAATCTGACCGCAAGTCTAGGTCAAAAACATTACATTGATTGCAGTTGCGGAATCTGCGTAAAAGGTAACTAAGTATTTGGATCGTCTTATACCGTGACCGCACTTCATGTCGTCAAAAACGCCCTGTTTTGCTCTTGGTTGATACTAACTAAAAAAAATGCGAAATAAACGTTATGCGAGATCATCGTTAGGTGAAATAAAAATTATGCAAAATGATCGTTATGCGAAGTGACGGTTAGGCGAAATAACCGTTATGCGAAATGATCGTTAGGCGAAATCAGCGTTATGCGAAATAATCGTTATGCGAAATCACCGTTATGCGGAATAAAAATTATGCGAAATGCAATTATGCGAAATAGCGTTATGCGAAATGGTAATTATGCAAGATGAAGAAATACCCTCTCTCTCTACCTTGCTCTTTCTCTCTCTCTCTCTCTCGCTCTCTCTCGCTCTCTCTCGCTCGCTCTCTCTCTCCCTCTTTCTTTTTCTCTTTTCTCTTTCTCTTTCTCTCTCTCTCTCTCTCTCTCTCTCTCTCTCTCTCTCTCTCTCTCTCTCTTTCTCTCTCTCGCTCGGTCTCTCACTCTCTCTTTCTCTCTCCCTCTATGTCTATCTCTTGCTCTGTCTTTTCTTATTGACAGCTTTTGTTTCGTGGCTAGAAAACGCGTTTTTTGTTATGGCTGTTTGTTCAGGCATGATTTAAAAAAGATGTTAGTTTCAGAAAACGGGGTTCTGTGTTGTTTTAAATCTTGAATCTCGGTCGAGAACAACAACGACAACTCGGAAGCGGTGGATGACGACGCTGACATACCACCGCTGGAGCCAGTGTAGTAGGTGAGTGCAAAACTCTCTCTCTTGCTCTCACTGACTCTCTCTCTCTCTGTCTCTCTCTCTCTCTCTCCCCTCCCTCCTCAGTCGACTTTCACGCCTTTTACAGAAACTTTGATTTGACGAGACGAATGCAGCTTTTTTCAGGGTGCTTGACCGCCGACGACAACCAACCGGTTCGGCTCTTCGTTAGACCCAAAAAACCTTGTTCAGCTTTTGTGCTTAAGAAATACGTTAAAGGTATTTCTTAACCCGTGTTTTTTCGGTTTGGCGCATGCAAAGAGAGCGCGGGTGAAAGGCAAGCTTGGCGCTTGACGCGCTGCGCGTTAGTATCATCCAAAAACCTGCTACAAACATTGAAGAACCTACAAGCGCTTTCAAAAAGCGGTTTTAGGGCTATTATTATCTTATATTGTAGTTTAGCGCCACTTTCCCAACGGCCTCCTTATAGATGATGCGGATTAAAAACAGCGGGAGGACCGAGGCGGGTGAGTGGGCTTTGCATTTTCATATCCAGCAAGGTCATATTCCATAGCACACTAACCTGTCTATTCCTTTGCATATTCTTTGGATTTTTTTTTAGATTCTTGATTTTTAGGCGTTATTTTTGAATGGCTTAGTTATATTTGCAAACTGCTATCAACATTATATAATTTTGATTACAGGTCTCCTTGACTTCAATTTGAGTGATTTTTCCATATTATGGCGGTTTTATCAAAAAATCGACCAACAATTTGGCTGCAACGTCTGCACCCAAATCAGAATCAAAGTGATTGAATTTTTAAGGTAAGCTTCGCTCTCGTTTTCGCAATCCTGCCGGTTTCTATAACCAAATATATTTCAACTGGCAAGGCGGAAAACGGATCGTGACCACTATTCGCTATCGTACTTACCTGCAACGTGCAGTTGGGCGACTCTATATAGCCGAAGGCAGATCCTTCTTTTGGACACTGGGTACAAGGAGGCACACGACGCCTAATAAGACAACCATCAGAATAATGATGGACGATAATATCGAGACGTTGTCCCGTCGAGTCCTGCAATCAATAAATGCGGAGGTGTTTCCGATTCTTCACTTTTAGTAGGTCCTATTTAAATTACTAAATTGTTTTTTAGAAAAGAAATCACTCGTTTCCTCCGATGATTAATTAATTTTATTTGTAAATACATCATCTCTTTTTTTTTGAAAAAACAGTGAGTTGATTTACGCTTAAAAAAATAACTCGGGTTGCTCATGGAAATTCTTCGCGCCTTTATCTGACAAGGGAAGTGCACGACCGGCCCACGAGAAATCGACACGAGACATAGTGGATCTGATAGAATCGGATACGGGGATTCCGAATCTGTAATCAGAATCTGCTAAATAAAACGGAGAAAAAAGTTATGAAGCTTCAAAGCTGGTAAAGTCGCCAAAATAGGTACCTTTAAGGGCCCGTAGAAACCGGGGGGAACGGAATTGAGCAGAAAAGAATTAGTGCATCTTGTTCAGCAGAAAAAGCGCTTTCGAATGAGCTGTAGAACGTACCATTTGCAAACAATTTACTGAAAAAAGTTTTTTTGGATTCACGGGCAAGGGTATGGCCTGTCAAGTTCATAGAAGAGATTTTTGCGAAATCATCGTAAACTTGAAGTAAGATAGTTTATTCGAAAGCGCTTTTTCTGCTGAACAAGATGCACTAATGGGTTGTGGCAAATTTCCATTCCCCGGGCCTTTACAGGCCCATAAAGGTCCGATTTTGGGCGATTTTACCAACTTTGAAGCTTCATAACTTTTTTCTCCGTTTTATTTAGCAAATTCTGATTACAGGTTCGGAATCCCCGTATCCGATTCTATCAGATCCACTATGCCTCGTGTCGATTACTCGTGGGCCGGTCGTGCACTTCCCTTGTGAGCTTGGGGGGGGGGGGTCATGGCGGCCATCTCATAACAGTTGGATCCGCGCCCTCGCCGCGCAGTCTGCTCAGAACAGTAGGATTAGCGGCGCACGCGTCCCATCGCCAGTGAGAGAGAGAGAGAGAGAGAGAGAGAGAGAGAGAGTACCCCGGGGGACAGGATTTGAATCCGTGGCCATCCCATATCTCATGCCCTTCAACGCGCAGTGGGATATCGCCCGAGGAATATAAGGAAACTCTCGGATTTTTCAGATCATTCCACCCCCTCAATCTCGTCTTTGTCATCACCCTCACACTATTTTGCGCCTACGTTGATGGATTGTTCACCGGACATGGACTTTACGCCCATTATATCCGAATGGGAGCTGATGCAGGAACTGTGGCAGCAGCCGTCGATTTGGATACGCAAACAAGACGCCGATCTACTGGATCCACCGATTCTTCCAAGCAATCAAATACGACTCTGGCGGCATAACCGGAAATTATTCACGATTATACCCCGTGAACTCAACTCTCCGGAATATGAATTGGAAGGCATGACGCCGTTAATAAACAGCCAGGCGTACCAAGTATTCCACGGGCGTCGCGTGATCTATGCGACGAAGCACTCGTTGAGCAACTGGTCGCGCGACTTCTTGGCTGATTTTTTACGTCGTGACGTGTGCGACCTGGCTATTCCAAGGAATGATTTTTTCTTTTATTAATATAACATTTCTTTTGACCAGTGACAAGACTTATAAACTAAATTTTAGTAACAGCCCAGACTCGCCTGACTTGGACCCTTCTGCCGTGAAGTAAGTTTTTTTGGTCTTTTGATTAGAAAGAATAGAACTTCTATGATATAAAAAAATATATACTTAATGATTATGTTTTTAGTGATGCCATGCAAGAATCAACCGGAGCTGATGGAGTTGCTGCTTTGGAATCTGCTGCCGAGAAGTTATGGTTATCAACATTTGGTCGAGGATGCGTTCGAGGATTGCGAGTTTGAGCAGCTCCGAAGGTAATTGAACGATCGTTCTGACGGCTCCATAGTTTTTCATAAGTTTATCGATCCCACTTTGATGATCTCTCCTCAGCATTTGTATGTCTCGATCAATAACCTAGACTACTCGCTAAATTTTTATTTGAAAATTTTTTACAATATTAATTGGGGTGGGGACAAGCATTGTCATTTCTATTTGTATGGGTTTCTAAACTCTCATCCTTTTGCCGCTCGCTATACCGGTTCCCATTCAGTATGTGCTAATAACTTTGCCGGAGGATATGTACCGCGATATGGCCAGGGATGTGCCTTATGCCTCCCTGTAGGTCACCCTCTTTTGCCTGTAGGCCCTCTCTTTTGATGCCTCCCTTACTACTTCCTAATTTTTCCGCTTTGCGCCTTGCTTTGTATCTGTGCGAATAAATTTTCTTTCTAACATGGACGTAGACATGGCATATGTAGACATGGTGACATAAATTACAGCTACGTATGGCAACTGACATTTATTTTAAACTTAGTTGATGACATAAAATACAATATACTTGTAGTAAGGTAGGATAGTTATAAATTTACTCTTATTCGAGACCCTAGAATTTATCCAATTTCGAGACTTCGTGCTTCGCGCAGACATCCGTAGACACCGCTCAGCCACCGCTTTCAGACCAAATAGTTATCAAGTAAATAATATCAACATTTGAATGTAAATAAACTGTTTATCCAACTATCATGGCCGACAAATTACAATTAGATAGTGGACATCGACTTATATAGACAGATACATTACATGAAACTATATAAAATAACTTTACATTTACTCTATCAAGAAGTTCTTGAAAACTTGGAGTGCAAGAAAGTCTTATTTATTATCAATTTAATTTATATAAATCTTTCCTAAACTAGCTTTGAAAGTTTATTGCGTGAGTATTCATTGATTTCCGATCTGTTAGTATAGCTTTATGATAAGGAATTGCCGAAGGGCTGGGGGGAGGGAGCGCTTAATGACGCCCCAGGATACTCTTGCCCTCACACCGACGATATAATCTTGGTCATTCTTGATCGCTAGTCCAAACAAAACAACATTAACACCGTTAGCACCCTTTTCGGTCCCCGTTCACCGAAACTACCGTATATTTAGTCAAATGGAAGCCCAGAACCTGTTGTTTTTAGTGTCCCAGACTGTAGTGGATTTTTGTAAATGGGGCTTCTGATATAACCGAAGCATATTTTTGATCACCTAAATCTTGAAATTCGAAAGCGATTGACATGTGTGCAAATCGAGGCCATCCTTCCCGGCCGTAGCTGGCGAATACAGGGCGTCCAAAAAAATACATCCATCTCTAGCGGCTCGCAGTCATGTCCGATTGTGACGATTTAGGTATCTATAGCAAGCTCTCAAAATGACGAGAAAACAAATGCTTTTCGTTTTCTAGTTTAACAGATTTAATTGTGTAAATTTGTGGCCAAACCCGTGGAAAAGCTAATTTATGCGATATCCATAAGTTAATTCCGATCTTGACAGAGAAAAACCACGCTTTTTTTAGCAAAACGTTTAATGGCAAAAAGGTTCTGAATATTTTAAGAAAACGACACCCGCTTGTTTTCTGGCCTTTTTACAGGGCTTTCGAATAGTGTAGGAACCAACCAGGTCCGAACTTTCCCCGGACCGCTAGAGCGAGTACCTTTTTTTGGACACCCAGTATAGGTCATTTTCTCATCATTACTACTAACCGATCAGTCAAAACCTCTAAATTTTTTGGCTTTGTTAAAGACCGTTAGAACGAAGAAATATCGTTTGGAGCAAGAAAGTTGCGTACCGGGCGGGGGTCGAACCCTCGATGGTTCGCTCCACAGACCGACGCGCTAGCCACTATACCAAAGGGCCAAGTGGGGAAGGGAGTCAGGGGCGCCCCAAACCCCAGAGGGTCTTTGCCCAATACGGGACACCACTAATGACGACACTCTCTGCGCGTTCTTGGGGCAGCACCCTCGGGGTGACAGTGCGCGTCCCATCGTTCTGGTAGTCTTTAATAATTCCCAGCTCGGTTGAGTCAAACGTTTGTCTATCCTCTTTCTCGCTATATTTTCCCACTCCGTCGATTTTTCGCCACCTTCTGTAAGCCAATTTTTTACAAAAATTTTATAATTTTAGGTTCTTATGGCTTCATCTTGGGTGATTTCTCCAAATTCCCCCGGTTTCTTCGAGAAAATCGCGGCCTATTCGAGTGCAAATTCTGCATCCGTCTCTCTGAATTGACAATGTATGGAGCATCATAAAGTCAGTTTCTCATTCAAAATCCAAATTTTGGCCCATATAAATCAAAAAATTTAATTAATGAAATACTTAGAAATGGATTAAACTACGAATAATCGTTTACTGTAATGATCATATTGACGAGGAGTACTGGGCACCGTTCAAAGCACTACTAGAAGTTCAAATCAATCTGACTCCCGGCCACCGTCTTCCAGGTAAGTAATAATTTTCTTTATCATGTCATGAAATTCTTCTGATGAATAAGTCACTTTCAGCTGGAAAGACGCAATACATCGCGCATACAGATGGCTCCAGGCTCTCGGCTCGAAATGCTTGCGAGGGAAGGTTTTTTGAACTCGGCCGGGTATTTCCACATATGATACCTAATTTGATAGAGAATTGAAAGTAAATATGAGTATTTAATATCAGTTTTTGCCGAAAAGCTTTCCTTAAAAAGATATGACGCTTTTAAAGTAGGTTTTGATGCTACGCTTTTTCTAAACAAGCTGGCAAGTTTTGTTTTTGCAAAAATCAATCGGGAAATGTGAAATATCTGGATGTGAAAGTCTTAAAAATTGCGCAGAATGGGCTTTGAAAGTGCTATATCCTTTTAAGGAAAGCTCTGCGCCCTTAAAGACTCATATTTATTTTTAATTCGCTATCAAATGGTGTGGTCTCATATGTAGCAAGTCCCGGTCGAGTTCAAAAAACCTTCCCACGTCAGCGTAGAGATTCTCAGAGGCGCTACCGCGAACTGGGCAATGTGGTGCGGCTCCTCAGGCACCGGCTACTCCCTCCCAGAATGTCAGCTAAAGATAGGTATAAAGAATACAATATAAAGATAGCCATCAAATGGTGCGTTTTGGTACCGTTTTTTACTCTTTTATTTTCCTTTAGACGCCAATTTTGTCAAAAAATGATTCGAATTCGGGGCGAGTTCTACAAGTTTCCCGGGGGTGCATTCCAGCAAATGCTGGTAGATGACATGCCCCGGGAATGGATTGAGTTCATCAACGAAGGTGTGCATTAGTCTTTTATCCTTAGCTTCTTTTACCATAGGAGGCCAAGGGGCCGTTTATAAATGGGCCCGCCCGTCCGGTGGCCCCATTGCATTCAAGCTCGTCGATTTGAGCGGAAACGTGGCAGGGCGTTTTCGGGAGCTACACAATGAGGTTAGGGACCCGATTCTCTCAATACTACCGTAATATAGCTGGAAATATGCGAGACGCTGAGAGGTGCTCGCTTGGAAAGAAATGTCGTGCTTTTGAGCGGTATCCCTGCCTTTTATATATTATTATTTTATTTTGAGACATGATATACTTCCATCAGCCACAGTTTTGCCTGGTTTCTATGGAGCTTGTACATAGCCGCGACATGTCCTATTACACGTGTAAGTTAATGATTTCGGGTAGCATTACCTCCTCTCTTTCTCAGACAACTCCGGGGAGCTCGAGATGGAGGAGCTAGTCCATATCTACCGGCAGGTAGCGGACGCCCTCCATAGCATGCACCGAGCGGGTATTGTGCACCTCGACATTAAGCCAGACAACATTTTGCTGGAAAATATGTCAGGTAAAAAATTCAGAATTGGATTTCATGCTTGATTAGGTGTCGCGAAAATCTGCGACACGGGCCTTGCGACAAGGCGCCCACCGAGAGGAGTCCGTAACCGCACCTACCCACTAATCCATTAATTCAATTATTTCTAGCAAAAAAACAAACTTAAAACGCAAGAAAGCGCGACGGATTTAACGATGGGAGACTTTTTGCGTTTCCCGCGGGAAGACTTTCATAAAATGGTGCTAGGCGACATTGAAAGTGATGCATTCATATACCTTGCCGGAGGTAGTTTTTGCTTACCTTCTATTTCACGCATTCAATTATTTCTAGCGAAAAAAACTATGACGAATCTAATGCTCGGAGACTTTCTGCGCTTCCCGCACAAAGTTTTCGAACAAAGGTGCGAGGAGAGGGGGACACCGGCGAGTTCACCCACGTCGCCGGAGGTAGTTTTTGTTTTTTATGAATAGTTGATATTGATTTGTCATAGGTGGACAGGGCACGGTATATAAATGGGAGCGGGAAGCTCCAGTACCTGCACTGGCCGTTAAACTCATGATTCTCTCCCGCGACCCTGAAATACGGGCCAGGGAGGTGAAGAGGGTCCGGACGGAGGTTTTTTATGAGGACATAACTCTAAAATTGGATTTTCTAGCTTCGCATTTGCGATCACCTGAGGGGCCAGTGCGAATATGTGGTCGTCATCAGAGGTTAGTCTATCGTTCTAAAATGCTTATTTTTTATATGTATAGACGGCATCTACGTGAAAGATCAGGGACGGTTCATATTGTCGATGGACCTGTTCCCCGGCGTCGACTTGGGTTTATTCCAAGGTAAGCTACTAAAGGTATAAAGAAGACCCAGTAGATTAGGGATCATCTATATTTGGCAACGAGCCAACCGGCCAGCCAATAAATTTTACAAATGTATTTTACAAACACATTTTACAAATGCATTTTGCAAATAGATTTTACAAGTGAATAATACAAAACAGATTCACAAATAGATTTTTTTCATACTATGATGATTATATGTACACGAGTATCTTTCAAACTTCATTTCCTTTAAAGACCCTTGGAAAGATGGCCGGGCGTCCCCAGGGGTGAGGGACCGACGGGGCGATACCATGCACGCTTTCCATCGCGTAAGGGGCCCCAAAACCCCCAACAAGATTTCAAGAAAACGGGTTTATAGCCATAACTTTATTGATTGACTATATTTTTGGCTGGAAACTTCCATAGCAATAGTTTTTAGCCATGCCCACCGATGGTAAAAATTTGAGACTGATTGGATACATAGCTGCCATGTTCTGAGCGGAAAGCGGTTTTTGGGGCGTTCTTTAGTTGAAAAATCGTCGGAAAGGGCATCAAATACTTCAGGAAATTCAGGGAGTACTTTCCTTGCCCTTAGCAAGCTTTTTCCGTAGGTTTTTTCGTTATCATTATTTGTGAATAGCTTTATTTTGATTTGTCGCCTAGTAATGTGCACCGATTCGGCCTTAGGGTACTTGGGGCCCCTCCGCCGCCCTCACCCACCCGACCCCTTTGGTGTGGGGGTAGCGCGTTGGACTGCGGAGCGGACCATCCCTGGTTCGACCCCCGGCCGGTGCACCTCTTCTTGCTTTTTGACCGATCCCATCTTTCCAGAGGCCTTTAAAAGGAAAGAGAGGGAAAGGACTATCGAGGATAATGGAAGGTGCCAACTTCCAGCAAGTGGTGTCGATACCCCGAGGTGCCAATTCCCACAGATTTCAATCGCCCCGAAAGGTGCCGTGTTTACTAATGATAAAGACCATAGGATGGGCTACCGCGCAGCTTGAAGTCGGGAGGAGACGATCAAGGTAGGCCAAGTCATTCTTACATTCGCCCAACCAGCCCCTACATACCTTAGCCTTTTTATTTTGCATCTTTTAACTCCCAGATCTCTTTTCATTCTCTTTCATTAATACCACAGTCATATAGAAGCGCGCTTCAAATGGCCTTCTTCGATATGCTTATGATTGCCACCGCGATCTACTGGGCGGCTTTGGCCGCATCCTACGGATGCTTGAGATGCCCCGATACAAAGGTAAGCCGTAATTTTTTACTCAAATTTTGGGACGAGGCGGGTCTATCTGAGGTCTGATTTGGTAATGTGAAAAACAGAAATTTGTCAGGCGGAGGCGTCGGGTCGGCGTGACCCCGAAGAGGACGCGACGATTCGCGTCGAGGACACGGACACCGACGACGATGAGCGAATCCCGGAAGACCCATTCCAACGAACGGTTGGACTTCCGGTCGTGAACAACCGGGCAACCGACGGTCAAAATCGGGTGTGTATTTTATCTCGAAAATGAATTTTTTTAATGTGACTTCTATATCTCATTTTTTATAGATCATCATGACGATGGAAAGGCAGGACTTTTGTGATTGACAATGAAATGCCGCTCGCCAGGGCCAGAATGATCTTTGGTGCGTTCAGGGAAGTACAGCTTCATACACTGATCGACGCGCTAGTTTTCCAATTTGCGCGGAACTCGCCATCACATCCCGATGGCGGATACGATCATGAGCAGATGAGCGAAGCCCTTCTGGCGCGCATCTCACAGGTCCTGCGCGAGAGAATCATGTATACCTCAATTTTCGTACATGGTAGACAGACTGACTGTTCGATCAGATTTGCAGACCTTGTGGATAATCCCGATCTGTTCAATGTTATCGTAAAAACGCCCGATTTTGGAAGTTCCCTCAGCGCGGCCATTTCATCTATCTATGGGGACAGCGACACACCATCGATTCTGTATGTAATTGGCGTGATCAGGGCGCTCTCGGAAGTTTATTTCCCCCCAATAGGCGCGGCGAATGTTTTTTGTAACTGCGACCCCAGAAGATTTAGTCCTCATCGATAATTACCGCGCAACACGTTAAAATTGTGTATTTCTATGTTACGATAAACATTTTTTAAATTACAAAGATT